GGCATATAGGTCATGATGTAGAGGGTTTAACACCATTGGGGTCAGATGTTGTTCCATGTAATCTAGGAGATGATAGGGTGTGTGATTGGGATGTGCCGGGAGTATGGAATGATAACGAAGATGAAAGTGGTGAATCATATGACCCGTTGGCAKAGTCTGAAGAAGGACACTCTCAAGCAGAATATGGGAACGAAGAGCATGACGATGCGCTTGATGATGAGCTTGAGYCTGATGTCGAACAAGTGCACACTGAGATTCGCAGGGATGAAGAAGCRGTCCGGSCACCGGGATGTAATGGTCTCACCGGAGACCCTAATGATGAGAAATTGCAACTCATAGTACAGTCTTCTGGGACAAATGATGTTAATGAGGGCGATGTATTTGATAATAAGAAGGAGTTGAGTTTGAAAATGCATTTAGTTGCAATGCGGAAGAATTTTCAGTTTAAAGTAAAGAAGTCAACGCCGAAGCTATATATACTGCGGTGCGTTCATGCTGATTGCACGTGGAGACTTCGAGCTACCAAGCTAAAGGAATGCACTTTGTTCAAGATAAAAAAATATTGTGCCACCCATACGTGCTATGGTGGAGCTTTAAAACATGATCATAGGCAAGCCAAAAGTTGGGTGGTTGGACATCTTGTGCAAGAGAAGTTCACAGACGTCTCCCGCACGTATAGACCGAAGGACATTATACAAGACATGAGGAAGGAGTATGGTGTCAATTTAAGTTATGATAGAGCATGGCGTTCTAGTGAAGAAGCACTCCGACTTATTAGAGGTGATCCAGCATCGTCATATGGTCTACTTCCAGCTTATGGTAAAGCTTTGAAAATCATGAACCCAGGTACTATTTTTGAATTAGAACTAGAAGGTGGCAAATATTTCAAATATGTATTTATGACATTGGGTCAATCAATTCGAGGTTTTCTGGATTGTATTAGACCAGTGTTGGTTGTTGACGGGGCCCACCTAAAAGGGAAGTTCAGAGGGGTATTGTTTTCAGCTTCTGGTGTCGATGCGAATAACCAGATTTACCCGGTAGCATTTGCGATTGTCGACGGTGAGACGGTAGCATCATGGGTGTGGTTTATGACTCAAATAAAACGTGTGCTCGCTGGAGTTGATAATTTGGTTTTCGTTTCTGATAGACATCAAGCCATTTGCAAGACAATCGACAAGGTATTTCCTGCTGCATTTCATTGCTTTTGTATACAGCATATCAAGGTCAACGTGTGAGGGGTCCACTGTTGCCTTCTGTTGGTACGCCGACAGTTTATCCTTCAGGGCGTTCTTGAGACTCCAAATCGTCCTATCAAAAATCATCGAACTCCAATCATAGTTGCAGAACACCTCCCATCGATCCACAACACCTAACAGGGCCGTATCTATGAACTGCTTCCTCTCCTTCCCCATCATGGCAAGTTCTATGAAGTAAACTATGCCAACCTTCACAACATCCTCGTCGTCGTAAAAAACGTCCTCCAAAAAAATCTTCTCCAGCTCACTACACTTAACCTTAACACTGTCTTTAAAGTAACGTGCTCTAAGTCTTCGTCCAGGAATATGATTATCTACCCTATTCATCCTATGACTGAGCCCGGTGATTAGGTCGAACTCTCGCTTACCAAAAGACACCCTCTTCCCAAACAAGTCAAAGCTAATGACGTCCTGTCTAGGCTCTTCAACCTCTCTCAACAACAGGTGATGGATCAATGGACCGTTGAAAACAACGTCCATGTCCAAAATAGGACCGAAACATGTTTGCCTAAACATGTCTAACTGAGTTGGGGTTAGCCTGGCCTTAATCCTAGTACTAGTTTTATCAACATGGGCAAAGTTCGTCAACGTGGTCGGAAACCAGTCATTACGATCTATGATGAGTCTCAAAATCCATTCTAGGTTCATAACAAAGTTGAAATAAAACATATTAGATACAGACTAAGCTAAAGTGACAAGGAACTTAAAAAAAAAAACTAAACAAAACA